CCGTGCGGGGCTCAGGCACTCGCCCATCCCCACCGATGCTCTGCGCGGAGCGGGGACCGGGGCACAGCCCGTCCTGACCGTGCACGGCTCAGGCACTCGCCCATCCCCACCGATGCTCTGCGGGGACCGGGGCACAGCCCGTCCTGGCCGTGCGGGGCTCAGGCACTCGCCCATCCCCGCCGATGCTCTGCGCGGAGCGGGGACCTGGGCACAGCCCGTCCTGGCCGTGCGGGGCTCAGGCACTCGCCCATCCCCGCCGATGCTCTGCGGGGACCGGGGCACAGCCCGTCCTGACCGTGCCGGGGCTCAGGCACTCGCCCATCCCCACCGACCCCTCTCCACAGCCTCGCCGGGACCTCTGGATGGGGCATCCTGGCTCCAGCAAACCCTTCTCCTAACCAAACCCATCGCCCCCGCGGGGAGGACGCCGGTCCCCGTCGGACGGGGCGATCCTCACCGCTGTCTTTGGGTGGGCTTGGCAGCTTTTGCCCTAGCACGGGGACAGCAGCATCCTCTTAGCCCGGCAATGCGCTGGGGATCGGTCCCATGGCCCCGGGAGCGAGCAGGGACCGCACCTGGTGCGCTCCGGGATCTTGAAGAATCCTGCCTGGCAGCCGGGAAAGCTGCGCATCAAAATACATTAGGGTTATGTTTGCATAAATAGGATCTTTATCATATATTTATATTTTGTGAATAACTAAATGGGATTTGGTGGGAGCACAGCCGCACCTGGAGCTGTCGTAGGTGTGTTGGTGAGGGGGTGTTTGTAGCACCCCCCGGGTGTTTGAAAGCTGCGGTTCTCGGTCTCTGCAGTTTCGTTTTTGGCTCCACATCAGTGGCTGTTTTTGCCTTGTTTTGTTGTCAGGAGCTTCAACCCAGCTGGGACCCCTTTGCATTTTGTGACACACAGCCCAAAACCGTCACAACAGCAGTGGCTAAAGTCTGCCACGTTCAGGTTGTATTTTTTTTTCTTGGTTTTAGTCACCCTGGGAATGCAATTACTTTGTGCACGATGAAAATGAAACTCTGGGGTTGTGCAAGACCCGCGGGTCTCAACGCCATTTCCGCTGCCAGCCAGCAGCAACCAGGGGCTTTCAGTTTTGGGTCTTAAAGCTGACATTACTTCAGCCTCTCTGTCTCACTGATATCTGCAAATCAGTGATCAGTTTGGGAGGGTAGACTTAAATTTGTGCTAAATTTAAAGGAAGATAAACATTCCTATGGAATTATGCCTGAATCAGTTCATGTCTTCCCCTGGATTATTTCCTAATGAGATATATTCATTTGGGAACTACTCTTTTGATATTTTAGGTATTGTTTAATAATAGGCACTTGATGAAGAAGAGTCCACATGGAGTCAGTTCTTCGTGGATAAAAGCTTCCTGACTTTAAAATCTTGTGACTTTCTATGTGAAGTTTTAGAGTTCTTGATATAAATTTGTTCTTTCTAAGAAGCATAATTTGAATGAACTCTTCTGCTGTTCTTTGCAATGGTTTCTGTCCTACTTTTTTCATACATGATGAATAAGAGCAGCCTATTACTACACATATGGACCAGTTTTGGCAGAAAGGGATTTCCCAATAAGCAAGAAAGGCAAATGTGTCTCCACAGCTAGGAATCTCTTTAGGAATTGGAAAGGATGCAAGTCTCTTTGCTGCCTGCACAAGGCTTTTGAATCTTCATTGCCAGATGAATTTTTAATCTATCAGGCAACCTTTTTCTCTTCAAAATGGTATTCACCAAAGCCCAGCCTTAGGCAGGTCCTAAGTTGCCTCTACCTGCAGAATTCCTCAGAGGGATGGAAATATAAGGTTATTTTTTCTGCCGTGACTCCATTCCTATGCACACCCACTGCACCAACCTGTGGTTAATAAAACCAGGTTCACACTGCCAAATCATTGCCATTACATATGAGATGTTTCTCGGAGAGTGCTTCTCCCACACAAGTGGCAAAAGAGAAGCAGCTGAAGCTGATATGGTTCCTTGTATTTACACTGAATAGCAATGTATTTTATTGCTTTGGACACAGATTTGTTAATATGGCAGTTGCTAGCAATAACTCAGGGCATTTGGCTCAGGGTTAAAGTAGTGACATCATCTTTGCACTACAAGTAGCCCATCAAAAATAAGATGAACAATAATAGGTGGAACTATTATTAGAACTAAATTTAACTATTAATTTAGTCATGTTGTTAGAAAGGAGGGCTGCTATTCACAGTTATTTATTAGTTGTGCATGTTGAGATAATCGATATCCTGTTGTTTTACAAGTAGCTTGTCAAAGTACAAGTAACTTGTCAAAACTTTCCCCTGCTCACTGAGTGTGGGGGTGTGAAAAAAAAAGAAAAAGATTGACAGCAGTATGTAATTGCTGAAAATGTCTCTTGAGCCTCCTGTATTCAGGCCACATTATCCTGTGTGGGGAGATCCCGAGGAGAAGAGTGCTCTTGCTGTCTGGATTGCCCTCAGCTCTTCTGCTCACTTTCCTTTTCTGCCAGATATCCTTTGCTCTGATCATTTTTTAAGGACAGCAGATAATGCATCAAAGAATCTGTTTGGGAATGGAGTTCATGGGTTTCAGAGGGCACAGCTTTTAGGGTGGGAATTGCCTTCTGGAAAAGGATTCCATTCTTTGCTCAAGTTCACTGCATTACCTGTAAGAATGACAAGAGAGGGATCACAGCTGGATAAACTCAGCCTCAAGACACATGCAGATGCCTTTGGCCGAGGAAAAGAAGGAGCAGATTGCCTGAAACAATCCAGCAGAAGTTTTCCTTCTCCAAAAGGAAACTGTTTTTAAGACAACTTCCTCAGCATGGCATTTCTTATCCCACATAACACAAAGAGCATTGGAAATCCTCTGAGCAATTTAAAAAAAATACCCATCACAGGTAAGCCTGGGTCCCAATGACCATCAGATTCTCTACAGAGAACATGAAGGGGATGTTCATGATGCACACATTGGCTGCTCCCTGGTTAGAACTAAAACATAAAAGTATTTAGAACCTACCAAAACTAATTTCAAACCTTCCCAAACTGTGCAAAGATGAAATTAATAAAATACCATACAATTAAGATCTCTCTTTTTTCCTGATCATGGTGGTCTTCTGTGAAGAGAACTAATAAAATTTTCCAAGAAAATGCATAAGAGCCATTGTGGTAGTAGCTGAACAGGTGAAACATTGTTCAAATGCAAACACAATTACCTGAATTCTCAAGACTAGTGTTTGCTCTAAGGACACAAAATGCAGCACAGGTATTTGCTGCACAAAGGAAAGATTTTTGTTTCATATCTTAGTGAATATCAAGAAATTTAAGAAGCGTATTAAAAGAAAAAATA